GGGGAGGGGTGTGAACCTCTGGATGACTTTGTGGCTGTGGTGGTTTGCTTTATTTATAAAGCGGGAGAAAGCCTTTTTCGGTGAAAAGACTACTCCACCAAAGGCAAAAAAGCCCATCCCGAAGCAAACTAGAGGCAAGGTTAAGGCGAATGAAGGCCCAAAATGCTATAAATGCGGTGAAGAGGGACACATATCCAGCGGTTGCCCATTGAGGAAATTTTTTCAAGAAAATGCAAAAGCTTTGCGTTTCTTTGCATTGAAAAGTGAGAAGTTCAGTTACAAACGTCCGCCATTGAGGAAATTTGTTACACAACTATCCATGATGGTGAAGGAAATGAGGAAGAATACGAATCTGAGGATATAGATGGACAGGATGTCTGTCAAGAAGGTGGAGAGGTGGTATGTGTGATTCAGCGTCTCCTATGTTCCACATCACAACCTGATGACACACAACGGAAGAAAATATTTGAGAGCAAATGCACGGTGAATGGCAAGGTATGCAAATTAGTGATTGATAGTTGTAGCTGCAAGAATCTTATCTCCCAGAAGTTGGTGAACCATTTAAAGCTTGAGACTCATGATCATCCAAACCCCTACACTATTGGGTGGATCAAGAAAGGAGTGAATACGAGGATCACCAAACAATGCAACCTGCCACTTTCTTTGGTCAAGCATTATCTCTCAAATGTGTTGTCTGATGTAGTTGATATGGATGCCAGTCATGTCCTTCTAGGAAGACCTTGGCAATTTGATGTGGATACTACACACAAGGGCAAGGAAAATTCTTAGTCTTTCATTTGGAACAAGAGAAAGATCATTATTCTACCAAACAAAACAGTGACCATCAATTCTTGAAGCATTGTAGAAATCAAAAGCATGTTGATCGCATGCTGGCAAGATGGGCAACATATCTGGAGAGCTTTAATTATCTCATCATGCATAAATCTGGAACAACTAATGGAGTGGCAGATGCTTTGAGTCGGCATGCATGCCTCTTGATTTCTTTTGAGTCTGAACTTCTAGGCATGGATCAAATAAAGGGGTTGTTTGAGGGTGACGAAGACTATGGCCATGTTTGGGTGAAGCACACAAGGGGCTAGCTGTTAGGTGATGACTATTTGGCGCAAGATGGCTATCTCTTCAAAAATGATCATTTGTGCATGCCAACAAGTTCTCTACGTTAGAGAGCTCCATTCAAGTGATATCTTAGTGGCTATGTTGGACGCGACAAGACTATCGCTAACATGGAGGCTTGTTACTTTTGGCCACAACTAAAGAGAGGTGCTGGAAAGTTTATTCAGCGGTGCCCCATATGTCAAACCTGCAAAGGACAAGTTCAGAACACAGGGTTACACATGCCTTTGCCTGTTCCTGTTGCTCCATGGGAGGATATCTCTATGGACTTCATCTTGGGCTTGCCAAGAACAAGACGAGGGAGTGATGTTTGTGTTTGTGGTCGTAGACAGATTCTCTAAGATGGCTCATTTCATCCGATGTCACGAGACAATGGATGTTCATCATGTGGCAAACCTATTCTTTCGAGAAGTGGTCAAACTTCATGGAGTTCCAAGGTCCATCGCCTCAGAACATGGTAGCAAGTTTCTTGCTGCATTTTCGCTCACTTCGTGGAAGCAATTCAACACTAATTAAAAATTTCCAGCACTGCCCATCCACAAACAGATGGACAAACTTAAGTGTTGAACAAATTTTTGGGTAATCTGATCAGTTGCATTTGTGGAGAAAGAAAGGGGCAATGGGATTTGGCTTTATCTCTTGCAGAGTTGTCCTACAATAAAGCATAGATCCACAGGAAGGAGTCCTTTTTCCATTGTCTGCACTAAAGTTCCAACACAGGTGGTGGACCTTGTGAAGCTACCATCAGGGAAAACTCAAAATCAGCATTGTTCTTTGTTGATAATTACACTGAGTTATTTGAAGAGATTCATAGTGTTTTGGAAGCACAAAATCAGAAATATAAACAACTTGCTGACTGTAAAAAGAGACCAAAATCATTCCAAGTTGGGGAGGTGATGGTCTACCTCCAAAAAGAGAGGCTGCCTTTAGGTGTTAAAGGGAAGCTTAGGCAGCGAAAGTATGGGCCCTTCTCTATTACGAGGAAGATAAATGATAATGCTTATGTGATAGATCTTCCAAGCGACATGGGTATATCTAACACTTTCAATGTTGCGGGATTGACTCTCTACAACCCAAAAGAAGCGCCCTATGAAGATAACTCGAGGTCGAGTTCCAAACAACCAAAGGAGAATGATGAGGAACAATAGATGAGAAAAATTAAAACAAAATCATATATCAAATCTATCTGGCTGCTTCTACGTGGTAGTATATATACTACTTTATCATTTTTAGTATGTTAATGTACAATCTAAAATACTCCAAAATGAGGTACATGAAAAATTTGCAAGTGAGCCCATAGTCTTTACTATATTTGTGAAATATGTACACATTTGTACGTAAAAAGGAGTATGCAAAAAATATGATGCATAGACGAATTTAGGTATATACTCCTGGGAGTACATACCCCCGCTCCTCATATACCACATAGATGAATTGGTTATACCTCTTTATCGTTTTTAATATACTTCATTAACAATTACTAGATACCCCAGAATGAGTTTGATGGAAAGTTACATTTGAGACCATATATTTTATTTTATTTACAAGTAAATTGCATTTTTGTACGTAAAAAATGTATACAGTACATATTGAGGGCTTCGATGATATTTATTCATGAAACTTGTATTGAGGTACATTAGAATAATTAATAAGGTATATTGAGAATGATAAAGAGGTATAATATTTGTTTAAGATGTATATTTGTACGTGGGGGTACATACTTAATAGAGATAAGGTGCATCCATAACAGTATGAAGTGCAATTTTATTCCCTCTACCCTGGTACTTGGTGTTTATTGCTACAAAACAGGTGCAGTGTGAAACAAGTGACAATCTACCAGTAGAGTGCAATTTATACTCTCCAGGGAATCACCATTATAAATTAAAAATGATTTCAATGGTAAAGTAAGTACAAAAGAGCTCATAGAAATCAATTGCTTATGTTTTTTAATGAGTTCTCCAAAGGAAACAGAAAATTACCTCAACCTAAGTGTGTCCAAGAAACATACCATATACCACATCTAACATATGATTACTGTCCATTGGAAGAAAGCTCACGAAGAGAAGCATATATGTGTAAACTGGATCCATCCTCTCTTTCTCCACTAGATCTTAAAATACATCTAATGAGACATGTAGTTTATATGCTAAAAGGAATCTCATGTACAGACCAGGGCATCTAATTATCTGCACAACAGTTTATTGTAGAAATTTGATAATCGGACTTATAACTTCGAAATCCCAAGGACATTGATATTTAATATAATCAGTAATGTATTTCCAGTAACATCTCAGAACATATAAAAGGAAAAGAACTTCATCAATACTGAAGAACATTGCTTTAGTTGGGGTTTGCAAAACAATGAAAAACATAATAGCAATCCAGAAGTGCATTCTATAACAAACACCTTGTCAATGGAAGCTAGCTCAGGCGCATCAACCAATACTCCAGTTTCTTGAAAACTTCGGTCTTTAGGCATATTATTTCTGCCATGTAGCGAGTAAATATATCATATAACATATGGACATTCTACACAATATGTAAAATAAGCATATATCAAGTATTCCCTCCATGTGGAAATAAGCATATATCAGGTATTCTAGAAATAAGTGACCACGTCACTTATTTCCGAACGGAGAGAGTAGCAGATACGACTGGACATTCCTGCTTACTTTGCTATGTCAAGCTCAGTCATGCAGTCGCTCAACATGGCATGCCTGCCAAATTTGTTGACATGTATTAATGTTAGTTGCAAATCCATATCTGTAACATAAGGTGAGAGAATTATCACCAAAACTGAAGGTTGACATACCCCTTAGATAGGAATCGTGCTGCCTTTACATTTAAGGGGTTCTCAAGCCATGAGCTATACTTTATAAAACTAGTCAACCAATAAGTGCAGACATTTAGCACCCTTGATATCAGTTCTCTTTTAGGCATTTCTTCTCTGCCTTCAGTATCAACTATTGGCGTTGGCACATCTTCATAGTAAAATGGAAGCCACTCAAGCTCTTCACAAACAACCTGAAGACAAGAAAGTCATATTAACCGTTTGAAAAGCGAATTAGCATCAGAGCTCACTCTGTTGCATGCATACTTACCTCCACATACAACTGATAAGAACTAATCGAGGACAACTGTGGATAATATAGGACGCTCCCACCAATAAGGTACCTGGATGACCATAAGCTGATAAGTTAAACACTAATTTTTTTTGGAGAAAATGCAAAGCTTGCTTCTCGATGCATCGATAGAAAGAAAGATTTACAATCATACAAGTCTAAAAGTAGACCGAAACAATTGAGCACATAAGACAAGACTAAAACAAAAAACATTACACCACCAAACAAATCCCGGCCTAGATGCCATCCACACAAGCAAACACGACGCAAACTCCATGACAGGAAGCGAGTTTCCAACTCTGAGGAGACACAAAGTTGGGGTCGCTCCCGCTCTGGAGCAGACAGATGGCGCCGCAGACCGCCGGCCTCACACGGCCGCCGGCACCGCTAGTTTTCAAAGCTGCACCACCACACATCACCACATCCCCCATCTGTTGCAGCATGTGCCAGCATCCGTAAATCGAAACCCGTCGAGTGCCCCCATGCGACCAAAACGCCACAGCATGGGATCCTCCAGGGTCCACTACCCATGCCACCCACGGTAGCCGCATTGGCATGTTGCGAGCGTACCTGGATCTACCAGATAGAGCCAAAGTGTACTCCACCGCGCAAGCCAACCTAGGGTCAGACCTCCAAGAACAATGCCTCCATGAAAATGGTGACATCTTCAATGCCGCGTCGTCAACCCGGCAAGCCCGATCTAGGTTTTCACCCGGACACTGGACCAAGAGGGACGGACATGGACTTGGGCTCCTCGACGATGCCAACAAGGAGGTGACGGACCCTGAGAACGCCCTCAGCGGCAGCACCGACAAAGGTCTTGTAGGGCTTTCGCTTGAAGCACCAAACCACAACTCACGCCTCGGCTACAACCAAATGAAGACACAACAGCAAGAACCTAGCACCGCCTACAACCATGCCAATTTGTTAGCATGGATGGCCCACCACCCCGCCAACAGAGGCCAGCCCACGTTATGCATCAGGATCAGCATGGACCAACCATGATTCCGCCTACAAAAGGAGCCAGCCTGTGGCCCAGAGGGCCCGTGCATCAGCCGACCGAGATCTGCAGCAAGATGCTCAGATCTGCGATATGAAGCCAACGCACCTAGCAACACCCACAGCCGCATCAAGCCAAGCTCCACGCCGACCGCAAGGGAGGCGGAAAGCTAGTTGCACGAATCCAGGCACTACTGGACAAGGTACCAACCGACGCCATGCCGCCAACCACCGCGTCAGGGCACCAGCCGACGTCAGCCTCCCGGCGGATGCCGGGCCACCCACACACAGCAAGCCAAGCCAGCCAGCACGCCAAGCACACCTCTGATACCACCAACGCCATTGTCTCGTCTGCTGCCGAACAAACCAGTGTTAGACCTTTCAGCCTGAGCATTGATAGATGTGGATGACACTAGGAGAGTTGGGACAATTTTCGTTGGTTTATTTCTCACACAATGCCATACCAACCTGAGGGGTTGGGGATACATATTTATAGGCTGCTAGCCAGCCAAGGCATATGCTAAGATGCTGCTAAGATGCCAGTCTAAGATGCTGCTAAGATGCCAGTCTAAGATGCTAACTGACAGTCCTTGATGGTCAAGAACAGAACTCTATCCTAACAGCCAGTCCTTGATGGTCCAGGACTTTATCCTCCTAACTGCCACAAGGACCATGTGCTGCAGCCCCACAAGGACCCTAGTACACAGACTTATCCATCATTCTCCCCCTAAGTCTTGTACGTCGTCTTGTGGGAGAGTTGAATCATCCCAATCCTGGAGCAAAGTTCGAGGAACTTGACCCTCCCAAGGGGCTTGGTGAGCAGGTCTGCGAGCTGATCCTTGGTGTTGATGTAGCTCGCCTCGATGCTCCCTTCTTCCACACAGCTGCGGATGAAGCGATACCTCAGTCGGATGTGCTTGCTCCGTTCGTGGAACACGGGGTTCTTTGCCAGGGCCAGGGCGGACTTGCTGTCCACCAGGAGCTGCACCGTTCTGGTGTCTTGAACGAGAAGATCACCAAGCAGTCGAGCAAGCCAGAGCGCCTGAGTACAGGCGGTGGAGGCCGCTATGTACTCAGCCTCACAGCTGGACAGGGCCACCACCTGCTGCTTGACTGATTGCCAGCTCACGAGACACTTGCCGAGGAAGAGGAGGATCCCGCTCGTGCTCTTGCTGGTGTCGATGTCGCCGGCGTGGTCGCTGTCGCTGTACCCGACGAAGTGTGCCGCCCCAGGGCACCTAGGGTAATGGAGGCCGTGGTCGAGGGTCCCTGCTATGTAGCGGACAATCCTCTTCACTGCCTGCTGGTGTTCCGACGTTGGTCGCTCCATGAACCGACTGACATAGCCGACGGAGAATGCCAAGTCCGGCCGTGTGTGAGTGAGGTAGCGAAGGCTCCCCACAAGGCGTCGGTACTGCGTAGCATCCACTTCCTCCGTCGTGCTGTCGCGACTTAGTTTCAGCCTCTCCTCCATCGGAGTGAGAGCTGGATGGCAGTCGGTGAGCCCAGCTAGCTCAACGATGCGCTTGGCGTAGGCGGACTGTCGAAGCGCGATCCCGGAGTGGTCCTGGTGCACCTCAATCCCTAGATAGAAGGAGAGGAGCCCCAGGTCACTCATCTGGAACGTGGCCTTCATGTCTTCCTTGAACGCCGCCACCTCTGCATCTTTGGTGCCGGTGATCACCAGGTCGTCAACGTAGACGCCCACCAGCAGGGCATTTCCTCCACTCCCCCGTCGGTAGACGGCAGCCTCATGCGGGCTCTGCTCGAAACCCATCTTCTTCAGCGTGGAGTCCAGCTTGGCGTTCCACGCCCTGGGTGCCTGCCGCAGGCCATAGAGAGCCTTGCGCAGGCGGAGCACCTTGCCCTCCTGGCCGGGAATCGTAAACCTAGACTTCCTCCTTCAAGTCGCCGTTGAGGAATGCCGACTTAACGTCCATGTGGTGGACACGCCAGCCCTCCTAGGCAGCCAGCGCAAGGAGAAGTCGCACGGACTCCATCCGTGCCACGGGAGCGAAAGCGTCGTCGAAGTCGACTCCTTCCTGCTGCAAGAAGCCTCGGGCCACCAAACGAGCCTTGTGCTTGATGATGGCGCCGGCTCCATCCCTCGTCAGCTTGAACACCTACTTAAGGGTGATTGCGCGGTGACCTCGAGGGAGATCAGCAAGCTCCCAGGTGCGGTTTTGCTCGACCGCATCCATCTCCAACTTCATCGCGGCGCGCCATGCCGCGTCTCTCTCGGCCTCTGCAAAGGACCGTGGTTCGCCGTCTTCACACACGAGCTGTAGCTGCCCCTCCAGGTCACGTGGCACCAGTCCTGGCACCGGCTGGTCGCCGAGCACATTATCCATCGTACGGTACCACAGCGGTTCGCCTCCATACCATGCGTCGACCCGCTCCTCGTCGTGAGTGAGCGGGGAAGCGAACTTCATCGGGTTGTGCTCTGCGTGAGCTGGTGCTGATGAAGACGAGCCCGGAGTGGCGACCGCCGGGGCTGGAGTATGCGGCGTCGCCGGTTGTGGTGTCGTCGGTGTAGCAGGCGCCGGAGTCGATGTAGTTTTGGGGGCCGGGGTAGACGTGCCCGGTGAAGAGGAGCTGCTTGCTCCCCCAGCTTCCTTGAAGTGAGCGTACTCGACAATGAAGTCGTCATACGTCGGCGTCGAGCCGTCGTCCACCGCCTTGTCCCATTGCCACCCTCGCCCTTCGTTGAACACGACGTCTCGCGCTGTGCGCACACGTTGTGTCTTTGGGTCGAGGATGCGGTAGGCCTTTGAGCCCTCCGCGTAGCCGATGAAGACTCCCGGAGTGCTCCTGTCGTCGAGCTTGCCGATGTGGCCGAGCTCCTTGGCGAACGCAAGGCAGCCAAAGACCCGCAAATGAGAGACCGCCGGCTTCCGCCCATGCCAGGCCTCGTATGGAGTTCTGCCGTCGAGTGCCTTAGTAGGAGAGCGGTTGAGGATGTAGACGGCCGTTAGCACCGCCTCTCCCCAGAAAACAGCCGGCATCCCTCTCTGCTTGAGGAGAGCCCGAGCCATCCCCACAACCGTCTGGTTGCGCCGCTCGACGACGCCGTTTTGCTGCGGGCTGTACGGCGCGGAGTAGTGGCGCTGGATGCCCTCATCGGCGCAGTACGATGCGAATTCAGCCGCCGTGAACTCGCCGCCGTTGTCAGTGCGCAACACACGCAATTTGCGGCCGCTCTCCGCCTCCACACCAACCTGCGCGCGCCTGATGGCGTCCGCCGCTTCTCCCTTACTGCCGAGGATCATCACCCACATGTAGCGGGAGAGATCGTCGACGAGCAGCAGGAAGTAGCGTCGACCTCCTGGTGTGGCTGGCGTCACCGGGCCGCACAGGTCTCCGTGCACGAGCTCCAGCTTCTCCTTAGCCCGAAAACTCGCCTGTTGGGGAAAGGGGAGTCGTCTCTGCTTTGTCAGTACGCAGATGTCGCAGAACTGCTCCACATGGTCGAGGCATGGCAGGCCTCGCACCATCTCCTTGGCACTTAGACGCTTCAGGGCCTCAAAGTGAAGGTGCCCAAAGCGCTCATGCCACTGCCACGCCTCGTCGTCTCGACGGACAGCGAGACAGACCGGTTGTGCCACCTGCACATCAAGGACGTAGAGTCGATTTTCACCTCTGGGCACCTTGGCGAGAAGGCGACGCTGGCGATCCCAGATGCGTAGGACCCCATGCTCAATCAGCATGCGTGAGCCGTTCTCATCCAGCTGTCCCAAGCTGATGATGGAATTCCTTAGCGCGGGGATGTAGTAGACACCGGTGAGCAGCCGGTGCTCTCCCATCTTGGTGGTGAAGATGACGGAGCCGACGCCCTTTATCTCCACAGCGGAGGCATCCCCGAACTTGACGGAGCCTCGCGCATCGGAGTCGAGCTCGGCGAAGAATTCCCTTCGACCGGTCATGTGGTGGGTGGCGCCGGTGTCGAGGCACCACCCCGTAGCCTTGTCCTTCCCGGAGCCATCGCCGAGAAGAGCGTGTGCTTTTGGCTCATCGAGGTGGATGAAAGCCTTTGCGACTGGAGTCGCCGAGGGTAGCTCAATGCTTGCATGCGCCATGAACAGAGCCGTCTCCTCCTCCTTCGCCTGTGCGACGTGAGCCTGGCCTTGTCGTGGTTGCCGACACTCATTGGCCCAATGGCCAAACCGGCCACAGTTGTGGCAACTGTTGTCTTGTGCCGGCCTGGGCTTGCCAGCGGCGCCGTCCTTGGCGCCTCCGCGGGCGTCACCTTCGGCACGTCCTTGTGCCCTGCCCGGGGGGCCTCTTCGCGCCTTACGCTGCTTGCCACGCTTGCGGCCGCCCGTCGAGGAGGAAGGCTCCCCCTTCTTGTCACCAAGGCTGGGATCCCACTGCTCCCGAGTTAGGAGCAGCTTCCCGCCGGTGGTGACGGGCCCCGAGGGGGGCTGTGGCTCGTCGGTGTCGACGACCTTGAGTCGACCTATCGCCTCCTCGATCGTCATCGTGGAGAGGTCCAGCAACGACTCGATCGAGCGAGCCATCTGCTTGTACTTCTCGGGAATGCACCGAAAAAGCTTCTCGACAGCTCTCTCCTCGGTGTAGGTGGCATCGCCAAACTTCACCATCTTCTGCAGCAGAGTGTTGAGACGGAGAGCAAAGTCATCAACGTCCTCACCTGGCTTGAAGCCCAGGTTCTCCCACTCCTTACGAAGTGCCTGCAGGGTGGACTTGCGAGCACGGTCGCTGCCGATGCGTGCTGCGGCGATGGCGTCCCAAGCCTCCTTGGCAGTCCGCTTGTTGGAAAGCGAGAACTGCATCTCGGGCGGGACTGCGGCGATGAGGGCGTCCAGCGCTCGTCGATCCTCTAGGTGGTCGACGTTGCTGTCCTGGACTGCCTCCCACATGCGCCGCACCTGGAGCCTGACCTTCATGATCCCGGCCCACTCGACGTAGTTGGTTTTAGTGAGGGTAGGCCACCCAACACTGGAACCAACATCCCTGACCACAGTCCGGACCTCGTAGAGGCCGCGGTCCTGGTCGTTGCAGCCGCCGTCGCGGTGCGCGCCTCCACCTGGAGCGCGGGCGTGCTCGGCTGCCCACTGCGCCGTCCGCTCCTGCGCCACTTTGGCGCGATCTGCGTCGGCGCCGTCGTCCGCAGGCGCGGAGCTGCTGGAGCTGCCGGGGCTGCCGCGGAGTGCCTTGGCATCCGCCGTAGCCTCACGGGCTGCTTCTGCTGCTGCTGCTGCTTCTACCTCCGCCCTGGCTGCTTCTACCTCCGCTCTGGCTGCTGCCAGCTCCGCTGCAGCCAGCCTCGACACTCTTGCCGCCGCAGCAGCCGCTGCTACAGCCGCTCGCTCACGCTCCTCTGCCACGGCGCGCTCGGCCTCTTGCCGGCGCCGCATGCTCGAGGTAGCCGTGTGCTGAGAGCGACCTGCAGACATGGCTCGCTGCAGGGGGGCTGTTGCGTGAAGAGGAGGCTGATGAAGACGAGCTGCTGCTCGACAGTCCGGAGGGAGGAAGGTAACCAGAGGCAGACGGAGCAGCTGCTGCTACCGACTTGGGCTGCTCACAGGAAATGCTCAGGGTGCAGGTTAACGAGGCTCTGATACCACTTGTTAGACCTTTCAGCCTGAGCATTGATAGATGTGGATGACACTAGGAGAGTTGGGACAATTTTCGTTGGTTTATTTCTCACACAATGCCATACCAACCTGAGGGGTTGGGGATACATATTTATAGGCTGCTAGCCAGCCAAGGCATATGCTAAGATGCTGCTAAGATGCCAGTCTAAGATGCTAACTGACAGTCCTTGATGGTCAAGAACAGAACTCTATCCTAACAGCCAGTCCTTGATGGTCCAGGACTTTATCCTCCTAACTGCCACAAGGACCATGTGCTGCAGCCCCACAAGGACCCTAGTACACAGACTTATCCATCAACCAGCGCAGCCAACCAGACCAGCCAGCACTGCTCGCCCCAATGGCCGCAAAGAACCCTCAACGAACGACCCATAAAGCATACCCAGGCGTCACAGTGGCACCACCATCCGGTTTCTGTGCAGACATGGCAGGGAGCAACACTACCGCAAGAAGCGGTCTTGCAACCCCTAGGAAAGATGAGTGGCCATACCAGCATCTAGGGCGCACCGGCCAGCACAAAGGGATGGACAGATCTGGCAGCAGCGCGCCAGCCCAACAGGCCACCACATGCCAGCCATCAGAAGCAGTTCAAGGTGCCTTGCACTGGTAGACCGCCACGAGGGCGTCGTTGCCGAACACCACAGCGCAACCACCGTGTGCTCAGCCCAGATCCAAGGCGATACAAGTGCGAGAGAGGAGGACAGGAGCTGCCGGTCGTCGAGCCACCTAACACAGCTAGCTATGCCAGCCACGAATCGCTGCCCCGACGACTGATAGCCACCTCAAACTGAATTTGGATCACCGGAAACGGAGCTCCATGGACTGCACTCAGGCTGCAGCATGTCAACCTCCAAGGATGAGGGGCCGCGAGAGAAGGGGCAGGGAGGGAGGGAGGAGTAGACCGAGGAGCCCCGCCATGCCACCGGCTGACCGGCGGCAACAAGGAGGGAGGTGCTGGAGAGGCCATTTAGCGGCAGTGGAATTCGCTAGAGCGGTTCACTTCCTACCTGATTTTGGTCAAGACTACAGCTTATGTAGTACTCCCTCTGTAAAATTCACGTCTATCGCACCTTACAGAGGGAGTAAAACTCAATTTCACTGAGAGAAGATTATCTAAAATTCACATCTATCGCACCTTACAATACTATTGACAGAATCATTTGAGTCTGTATGACTTTTGGAAGACAGGTATACTTGTGTACTTCTGCCTAAAGCAATGAAAAAACCAAATACCGCTAGGTCCTTTTCCAAAACCTGCAGCAAGAAATAAACAAATTGGGTTAGATCAAATCAGAGAGGATTTTAAAACTAGAAATGAAGTATTGTTGGGTTCCAACCTCAATAGTTTCACTTGTAGTCAGTCTTGACCATATCTTTTCACGATCAAGAGCCCTTAGTAATTGTTTCTGAACCAGATCAATCCAAAATGATATCTCAAGTCCATGATCATTAGCAAACTTAGGAACAGCAGCACGAGGACCAAAATTGCACAAGAATTCTCTCTGAAGACCAATATCTTTCGTCAAGGTATACGCTTTACTTATAGGAACGAATTCAAGAAGCATATCCATGAATCGGCCAATAATATCAGGGACCATGGAGAAAAACTGCTGACAAGAAACTTTTGCTGATCCTAGCTTCGTAATAGCAGCAAGACAGAACAGACCAAGCACAAGCAAAGAAAGGTCACTTTCACTAGTATCCATTGGCTTGCCTTCGCTGCATCTAAGAACATACAAAACAAACATATATGTGAGCCACATATTACGCATTGTACAGTAAACATATTACATGAAAAGAAATTGATAAAACATACATTGCTGTTGCAGAATTAAATCGTCGATCATTTTCAAAAGTGTTCACAAATGTCCTCACCACCAATGGATTTTGATTAGATGAATACCACTGATATAGTGAAGGTTCCCTTTTAGCCAATTCATTCTGTATAACACCATCTAGAGAGCTGAGAAGGCGGGATAAACTGCAACCAAATATACATCGGTTACGCGAATTTATTATCGAATCCATTGTCAAATTAACCCTGAGCTAACAAAGCACAAATACAGCCTTTCTAAACAAAATACAAATACAGCCTCACATGGTAAACCTTGGCAGTTTATTTCTTCATGAATCATGATAGATCAATTGATGAAGCAACTTTGTTAGGAAAGAGTCCAGTCAGTTTAGAGATCGTATTGAGCTTGAATAGATTTACCAACTTGTTGGTCAATTCTTGTCTACTATACAAAAGGGCCAACCCCTCTCAATAAAGAAAATAAGAATATTGTCATTTACTTTTATCTACTTTTCAGTAATTACGGTTATGTCAGTAGCAGGTCCTTCCACGAGTACTATCTAAAGATAGAAAAGCAGTTTTTTGCTACAAGATATTTAATGCTCACACACGTATGAAACATATGTAGGAA